TTCCAACTCCCAAAGAAGGCAAGAGGGACTGAGCACTGACATTCTGGAAGACAATCCTGTCAGCTCTATATGATCATTTCTCATACAAACAAGTAGCCTACTAATCAGAATGAGCTAATGATTTAAGAGAAATGAAATTAGATTTAATGTAAAAAAAACCCAAACAACAAGGTAAATATTAGATACTGCTGTACAAAGCCAAGAAGATGAGTGATTTAATACTTATTTAATTGATAATGAGATTAAGAGAAATACGTAAGAACCTACCTGTACAAGTTAGACAGATGCTGCATCCAGAATAGTCTCTAATCTTCTATGTTTTTGCCCAATAATGATTGTTTAGACCATAATAGTTGTAAATATAACATTAAACATATTCAGGTCTTGATTGGACTTCTGTTTCTTGGATTTTTCTCTTTATTTTTCTTACCTTCTGTCTTCTCTCTTTCTTTCCCCCTTTCTTCCTTTCTTTCTATTGCTTTGTTTGTATCTTGTAACTAAGCACTGTGTGATCTGGCAAGTGGCTAAGCAAGTAAACAGTGAGGTTCCTTCTCTTACTTGCAAGCCAAACCTAGCAGCTCCTGGTTTGAAGTTGAGGGCAATGTCATGTCTGCTAAGGCTGTTTACACTCCTTCCTTTTTTTTTTTTTCTTTCTTTCTTTTTTAATTTTTTTCTCTCTGGAAGTTCACTTGCCAGGTAATGAGAATCAGCTTTTAGGAAGTGGCTCAGTGTAAATCTCTGGGTCTGTCAACTTACAAGGGCTCAATTGGATTACCTGACGCACACGGGAGCATTAGGTCTAAACCCCACAGACTGATGTCACTTTCAGCCCCCGGCCAATCCAGGGAGCAACAGCACAACCAAAGCAGAGACTGATGGTCTCGGGGGTGAGTGTGTCTTTTATGAGCAGCAAAATCCTTCAGACTCAATAAACAAAGCAGATAAGATTTTGATGGCAGGAAAATAAACTAACCAAAAAATGAAGGAAGGAAATTTGATCATTTTTTAATATTGCCTACTCTGAAATTTTTTTGTTAATTACAGCAGGGTGCAGCTATGCTCAGAGCAGGGAAGAGGGAGCTCTTGAGATGCTGCAGGACAATTGTGAGCTGGCTGTAAGAAAGTGAAGGGAAAATGAAACCTTAGTAAAACAGAAGAGAGTTCTATTGGACCTGTTCAGTAAGCTCTTCACATTAGTTATTCCTCCATTTTTCCCAGTTCTGTTTCTCTTTAATTCTATTTTTTTTTTAGTTTTTGTAAAAGTCCACAAATCTTCATTTGTTTAATCATTCTCCCTGTATTTTGTCCCTGAATAATGGGATTTGCAAATGCATTTTCATCTACAATCCTTATAGCAATATCTCACTGATGACTAGTGTAGTTTTCTCTATTCATGTCAAAATGAAAATCTTGGATTTCTTTCATTGCCTAACTGCATGCAACTAGTCATTTAAGTTCCACATGGGATAAAAAAAGAACAAACCAGCCTCATATTTCCTTTTTTCTTTCTCAGTCATTGTGAATATTGCCACTGTTGTTCCTAGCCCACACTCTGGATTTCACGTTCAGTTTGGTCAACCCTTCCAGTGTATGAGTGTTGATGTGTGCTTTTGAGGAAAATATACAAGCTATGGTCTTCTTTATTTGTCTTTAAAGAAAATTTATTCAGGTTTCATCATCTCAATGCCTGTAAATCCCTCTCTTTTGACACTTGGAAGTGCAATATTGCCGTATCCAAAATGTCACAGAAAACATACATTTTGCTGAATTCCCCCACTGGGTACATCCCCTATCCTTTCATATCCTTCTCTGGTCCCTTTAGTTTGTAGCAGCAAAATAAAACTATTTTTTATAAATGCTGGCTTGGTCCAGAAGTCATAAATCTGATCTGACAAGAAGTCTGACAGGACTGAAGGCAGGAATAAAAATAGAATGAAAGGTCTCACATCGGAGATGTCCCAAACAGAACATGCTGGAGTTGGAAAACCAACATTTATTGATAAACCTTACCAACTATGCAAAAAAACCCTATTTGTTGCCTTCTGCTGTGATCATTAGACTGATACTGCTCTTCATTTTTTGAATATGTGGATCCAGATACCAAGAGCAAAAAGGCTGCTAATGAAAAAAAAAAAAATCTGAGCATTGATGCAGCTCAGGAAGCATTTTGCTTATTGCCTGATACAGTCACACTAGCAGGAGAAAAGCAACACAGAAATTTGTGACTGCTCCTTCCCCAGGTAATGAGTGGGGAGGAGATAGGAAGTTATTTTTAGTGGTGCATTTGTAGCGAGCAGATTTGCTTTAAGTAGGTGTGTGTATAATGCTGTTTGCAGAGTTAACAGGGTGTGTGGCTTGTTGAATCATTTTGCTAGAAATAATGTGTTGTGTGAACATGCTCCTGTTAAATCAGGTAGAAATGCTGATTTGATTAACTAATCAAAGTTCCTAAGGACATTTTGTTCTATTGCTTTAAGAAACGACTCGATGATTCTTCTCATGAAAACATGCAATTGCAAACCTGTGGTAGCTCAGTTGGTGTAAGCAGCAGTTCCAGATTTGTGAGATCAAATTCTCACCCATGGCTCCTTCTTTATTCTAAATAGTCATTGAAAGCAGCCATTTTAAAAAATCACTTACAACCTACTGATTTGAACCAAAGCAGTATTTCATTCTCATAAATTTAAAATATACAGCATGAGAGCTTCAGTTGAATTCCTTCTGTTCATCTATTGATAGGTGTACAGGTGACATGTATGTAAATGCAGCAAAGTTTATATAACTAGATCACTATGAAAGAAGGTTAACAAGATGAAAGGCTATTTATCCCAGTGAAGGAACTGCTGGATGGAGGCTTAGGATCTCCCTTATGTTCCTCAAAGCTTTCTGAGAACTGGCAATGGCTAGAATCCAATTATTCTCTGACATTAATGCCTTTATATCCCACAGAAGCTGAAGTGTGGGAAGCTCTTAAAGTTTACATAAAGGTGAAGATTACTATTTACTTCTCAGCTGATGGTGGTACAAGCAAGGTGTCAAAACTAGAACCACAGCTTGTGCCAGTGGTTTCTGTTAAACACAAAAGATTTCTATTGCTTCTGTTAAGTTTTAACTAGTTTTACTTTGGAGTCCCATGGAACGGATCATGGACTGCATGAGCTGTCAGAGCTTGAGCTTTCAGAAAAATCAGGGAATCCCCCTTTTTGTTTAGGATCTTCTTAAGTCATACAAGAGGACCTAAACACTTCTGATAGTGCACTTCCATGCTTCGTTCCTATGTCTACGAGATGTGCAAATAAAGTTTAATTTCCATCATGGTTTCTAAGCAGATGGTCCAGTCATCTATATTTAGCTTAGCAAAGTAATACAGGGAGGTGAGTCTATGATCTCGTTCTGGTTTTTGCTGTCAGGGGTGTTTCACAGCAGTATCTTTGGGGGAAATACATCTGATTTGTGTAATCCTAAGCTCAGTTTAAAAAAAAAATTATGAAAAGGCAAGAGGGCAGTATCTGAACAGCCTGTTTCCCTTTAAGAAATAATTCCTTAGGTAATTTTAAAAATACCACTAAACTGGGAGTGGAGGTGTATTGGAGTTTGTTTCTAAGTTTGCGTTTGAAGAGTACAGGAAGGCAGCATAACTTATTGCTTACTTATTGCTACTCATGACAGCAACCAGTTTTCCTTAAGAAAATTCCTTAGCTGGCAAAGTCAGGCTCAAACCTCTGGGAGTTTCTAAATCTTTAGGAAGTTCTATGAATGGATGAGACCCAATTAAAATACCACTTATAGTTCAGTATGTTTAATTTGCTTTTGTTCTTACATTGGTTTTGAGATGTGATGTGAGGTAAGAAAACATCATTGAACAAGTAGCTCCTGTTTGTGACACCTGATTACAGTTCTGCTGATCCCAGAGTAACTCAATGGGAGGCCAGTATTCCTATGCTACATCCTCCAATGCATACCTCTAGGATACAAGGAGAGAGGCTGTGAAGTGATTACTCTTTAATGCCAAATGCTCTCAGACTGTAATGGAACCACTTTCTAAATTACAAAAGTAAGCTCAAGCCATTAACTGAGGAAAGAAAGACTGAAGTTCTGAAGATATGGGATGGAGTTCCATGTATATAATCAATGCATAGTTTCATGAAAAATAGCCATTTTACCCAGCATAGATATAGATACTGGTGGTAAGGGGAAAAAAATATTTTCTCTCTTTTGCAATAGAGATTTTCTATATTTTATGCTCTTTATGCACTACAATGAAACCTGTGTACATTAACATATACTTGTGTATATCATATTAACACTTTGAGAGTGAAAATAGTTTTTGTTTACAATAGCTGAAGTGATTAAAATATATCTTCATCTCAAAATGCAAGAATGAGTGTGCATAAGTCATCATAGGGTACTATTGCATAAGGCAGAGATGTGTGCAGGCACCAAACTAGCACAAAGAAGTACAGTTTCACCCACAGGGGGTCATTTACTATTGAAATTATCCTTCTTATTCTGCCTAATGTGGTTCACTGAATGCTAAGTAAGGTTTTGTGCACACATTATTAAGTATCTTCAAAATGTTTTGGTATTATAAGATTTACCAAGTCAAAATAGATTAAGTTGCCTGTGTTCCTCCTCTTCCTACCATTTAGCTCACTGTCACTTGTTTTTTAAAACTACTTTCTGAAGTTATCAGGTTTGGTATTGGAATCATTATATGCAGTGCTAGATTCAATTAGCATTTAGACAGGATGTAAGATAATTGGTGTCGGCCAATTTCATTTTCCAGCTCTTTTCAGAGATAATGTATGACACATTATCTAACCTAGAATGGGTGTTTGCATTTAGGAGTTGAAAATTAAAAACTTTGACAAGAATTGGTGCACTCCTTAGAAATCTTTTTCTTTCTTTTCTTTTCTTTTTTTTTTTTTTTAACCAGAAGGGCAAGGTCAGGTATGAAGAACACTGAATGCTGGTTGGAGAGACCTTTAGTGAAAGCTTACCTTCAGTATCCCCTGTGTTCAGTGCCACAGTCATCAATGATGTTATTTTGTGTAAGGTCACTAAAATTTGGTCAACTTTGGATGATTTCATGTCGCAGAAACCAGGAAGAGAGGATGGTACAGAAGATTTTCCAATTATGATCACTTTGTAACAACAAGGAAGAAAGAGCTGATATAAAATTCCCTACGGCCTTGTTCTGAATCCTGAAAATGCTCTTTGCTCTGGAATTATTCTTTGAAAGCCAAATACTAAGTCGTCATTGATAAGGGTGCAGGAAGGGATGCCAGTATGTAATTTAGAAAGGTAATGCCAAACCCCAAGAACTTTTTTTGAATTTGCCTATGAAAAATTTCTATTGAATAGTAGTATAAATAAAGAGCACCCTTGCTGTGTTAATGTCAGTGTGTAGAAATATGAGGTATGTGACCCCATAAACATTGTTTTCTAACAGTTTACCTACACATCTCTCCACAAACAATTTCCAATTGGCTGAATGTGTCTAATGATTGCACATACTTTGCTGCCTATTTACCCAGTGCAACAATAAATACAAATTGTCTGTACATGGAATTATGGCAGCTGAGGAAGAACTTTTCAGGAACAACAAAGAAGGGGTTAATAGCATTAGTGGTATTTGAGAGAAGAAGATTTCTGACCTGCTGTGCAGAAATGTCTGAGCTTCAGTATCAGCCGTGAGCGTGGCCCCACCTTCTCATCCCCTCTGTAACCTGTCACAGGGTGCCCCGTGGTGGCTGCTTGCCTCCTCTTGCATTTGCTCAAGCCAGCAAGTGCTCCATTCAGTTTGGTTACTAATAAGCAAAAGCATTTGCTCTAGTTCATCATTATTTTCTAATAGTCAGAATCCAAGTGTATAACTGCATTTTGAAACTACTGCCTGTTCCCTTTAAAGAGGGAATACAGGTCACTTTAGTTGTTACTTGGAGTTGATTTCATAGTGCTTTGCAAAACAGAATTAATTTTTAAAATCTTGTACAATGTTTCTTTCATTAGATTATTTTCTTTAGTAAAAGGAAACATTTGAACATCAGCTCTATTTATCAGCAATTAGTGTGTATGATTTTTTGTACACCTTTCCAGGCTATAATTGGTCTATTAACTTGCAGTTTGCTAGCAAATTTCCATTTAACTTTCTTATGTGAAATGTGGCTTCTTTGCCACAACCAATGATGAAAAAATGTTTCGGAAAGATATTCTTACCAAAAATGCTTTATTTATTTCTATTTGTATTCTGGAATTTTCTAAAAACTCTCATAATTGGTATTGCCTTTCCACATATATCTATCTTGCTCAGCAAACAATATTTATCAATCTGTTTGCACAAGAGGATATGGATGTTGATCCTGGCTGTGGCTTCTCAAGCCCTAGCTTGGAAAAGCTGGGCCCCCTGAGTACCTACAATTGCTATTGATCTCTTCTTGATGAAGCAGCTCTTTCAAACACCTTCCCTTTGACTGAGAGGACAGATGAAAAAACTTGCTTGTGCTCCAGAGTCCCTTAATGCTGCTGCCAGGGCTCTGTCATGCCGCTCCATACCCCTCAGACTGTTCCTAGCTGTAGCAGAGATGCCCACATGAAAATCAGCAGCAGATACCAGCCAGTGGGCAGCACAAGGCCTGGCAGTGTCTCAGTGATGCTCCTGGGCAGCAGCACAGCCCTGTAGAGAACATGTCAGGTCAGCAAACGAGTGCCTCTGTGCCTCCAGAAGAGTCATCTGCTGCTGCCACCACTTCTCTCAGGAGCCCTGGAGGCTGTTCAGGGCGCAGATGGGGCTGCCTCACCCAGCTCCTGCACCTCTCCTGATGGGACAAGGTCTTTCCTCCTCAGCCTGCAGAGTATGGAGCAGTTCTGCAAGGGCACGTGCCTAGGACATCTTGTTTCTATTTACAGCTTGTCTAAAAGTGACTATAGACCTAATCAGGTGTTTACTTGCTAAAATAGCTATTTTGGTTTAAGCCACCTTGTGTCTGTTCACTACAGTCCCACTCAGCTGAGTTACTTTGTGTATTATGTTAATCCATTTTGGTGCAGATATAAATCACTGTTCTTTACTATGGATGCTTTGTGAACAAAAATGACTACTCTTTCTATGTTTCTACACGTTATTTTATGTTACAGAATCTTGGTTTTCACATACTGATTTTTGGACATCAAAATTTGTGTCAGACATTCAGATCTATTTCCTTGTCTCCAAAGATTTGATTCTGAATTTTTTGCTTTGCAGTTTATAAACATCAATGTGCTAAAATGTTGTTTATTACCCCAAATTATGGTAATTGACAAGTTAATGAAAATATTAAAAAAAGACAAAACTACATTTTGGATTTAATTTCATGACTGCTGAATCCGAACACATTAATGTTCATAAACTTACTTGTATACCAGTGCAGGGGAATGAGAAAGTTTGCAGTATTTTGACATAATTCAGATTTTACTGACACTTTGTAAATCCAAATATTTATTAAACACTCAACAACTACTTAATTTAAAGCAGCAGTCCAAATCCAAGACTACTGCTACATAAACACTGAAACTGAGGAGGTAAGAGAGTGATTAACAATTGCATGTAGGCAGAGGTTGATTTTCATGTTCCAGATTGTTCACCAATTCAATTTTGGAGTTTCTATTATTAAACATATCTGCTCATCAGATTCTTCTCATGTATAAAATTTCATATTTATTTTGGAAAGGAAGATTCAAGTTCTGAGGTTGGTGATTCCCAATATTTTTCTAAAGAGACCCTTACCACCTTTCAGCTTTTCTCACTATGCACCTTGTCAAAGCCATCACCAAAAATCCTGTCAAGTTTATGTCCTTCTGGGGCCTCAACAGGGCCAGTCCTTGCTAGAAAGACCTGGCCCCTGCAGGTAACCACACTTCTTTCCACAGTCTTCTCTCTTTATATTGTTTTCCAAAAGTTTTCCCCTTTCTGCTACTGATTCTCTATGACGAAATATGAATCTTCTGTCTGGCTGTCTGTATGTTCTGTCCTAATCCATTCATACTCCTGCTCTCTACTGTTCTCTCTTCTGACCTGTTGAGAGGTCCAGAGAAAAATGGTGAGTTTGTTGCAGCCTCTTTCAAAATATCTGTTTACTTTCATGGTTTTCAGGTATTTAGTTTTGTCTTTTCTTGGATATCAGTCAGGACAATCCAGAAAACAGTTTCTACCCAGACATATATAATAGAGGAGTTTATAATGTAGCCAAAATGTTTATAAGAAAATATTTCTGCAGTGCTTGAAAACAATACTATAGTGATGCTCAATGACATTCTCAAAGTTTCTTTTTCTTACATAGGGACTTCTTTTGATAACTGGTTATACACACAATCAAAGGAACTTCTCATTCTTACTTGAAGAGTTACTATTTTGATAGCTTGCAAATTTTCCATACTGTACAGGAACTTTATAGCTTATGTATCATATACACTGCAATAAGAAAAAGCCTTAGAGCTAAAAGCTGGTTAATTCTGTTTGGGGGATGTCCCACAGAAATGATCAGAGGTAATGTGGGAGGTGTCTTAGAAACAGCCAGAGGCACCTAAGGAGGACTGGTATAGAGTCTGAGCAATAGTTTTTGTTTTGTTGGGGTTTTTTATGTGTAGCTATAAAGGAGGCATCATGTATCTGTCTGTGGAAATCTGTAAAATAACCACTTTAACATATGGAAAGAAATTGGTTAAATTAAGCAAGAATTTTAAATGCAGCATGCAGTGGTCTCACCAAAACAGGCATATGAGTAGTGTATGGACAGGATTATGGACATGAAACTTTTAACACCAAGACAGTGGGCAAAATAGGAATATTCTAAAGCATTGCCTTTAGCATGTAAAAGTCTATGCTTATTAAAGAGGGATAAAAGCTGTTATCAACAAAAATCTTGATAGATTGGCATCTTGAAAAATGGGACACAGGCCACATGTTTGACAGTGAATTAAATGTGAAATGGCCGTTTTCACAGTACCCTGTGCCTAACTGGCAGATTGTATGTAGTTTTAAATACTGCTCATAGGGCCTTTTTTTTTTTTTTTTTTTTTTGCAGTAAAAATATACAAAGGCTTACTGCAGCTTGCTGAGTGGCCTCCTTTTGTCTATAAGCAGGGACCTTCCTGAAGAACAGAAAAAACAAAAACAAACAAAAAAACCCCAAACAAACAACCCCCCCAATGATATACCAAGGAAAATATTTAAAGAGTACTCATGTCAGGTGCCAGAAACCAAAGGCAAAGGTATGAAAAAGCCAAGAGAATTCCCCTAAAGATTTAGAGGAAAATCTTCAGCAAAAGAGACACAGAAGAAGAAGAGGTTACACCAGTCCAGAACCCAGTTCCGCGGTGAAGCGCTGCCGTGCCGGGCGTGCAGCGGGAAGCCGGGAGCTGCCAGCGCCGGGAACGATGTCAGCGAGCAGCACCCATGCCAGGCGGCGAGGGAGCGTGCCAGCGCACCGGCACCGAGCGCAGGGCAAAGGCCTGAAAACATGCAAGTATTTCATGAAAGCCCCAGCAGGAAGAGAGGTCTGGCTACTGGGCGTAATCCAGGAAAGGAACTGCTCCAGGGAAAGGGCGCGGAGGAGGCAGAGCGATGCTGGTTCCCTGCAGGGAGGCGCGGGCCCGGGGCAGCCGGGGCGCCAAAGCCCCGCAGGGCCGCGGTGGGAGCCAGGCGGGCCGGGGGCGGTGGGGACCGGGGCAGGTGGGGACCGGGCGGGCTGGAGGCGGCGGGACCGGGCCCCGGGGCGGGAGGCAGCGGAGCGGGGCAGCGCCGAACCGGGCGGGGCGGGGCGAGCGCAGGGGCGGCGCAGCCGCAGCCGCGGCGGGCGGAGCGCGGAGCCTGTGCGCGGCCCGGGCCCGGCTCATTACTCAGCGGCCGAGGCCGGAGGCGGTGGTCGGTGAGCGAGGCCGGGGCCGCAGCCCCCGGGAGCGGCGGTGGGCGGAGGGGAGCGAGGCGGCGGCGGTGCGGTCCCGGGGCGGGCGGGACAGCGGCCGCGCCGCGGGGCCCGGGGTCGGGCCGGGCGGTTTTGTTTACGTTTGGACGGGCGGGAAGGGAGCCGGGGCCGGCTGTGCCCTTGCCCGGGGGCGGGCGGCGGTGCGGGGCACTCCGGCCCGGTGACCTTCCGTGGCTGCTCCAGGCCGGGGGTCGGGAGAGGTGCGGGTGGATAATGGCGGGGGCCTCTTTGTTGGTGTGGCAGGAGGGGCAGGAGGCTCGGCGCGGGGCTCCTCCTCCTCCTCCCGGAGCGGGGGCGCCCGGGCAGGCCGGGCTGGCCGCTCCGTCTTCGGGAAGGAGCGTTACAGGGCGGGGTGGTGGGAATGAAGCCCTCCCATGACCTTGTTCTTAAAAATGCCTCTTTGAGCAAAAAAATACTTCTCTGGGATAATGTAACTGCTCTAGATGCACGGGCTGGCAGTGACCGGCATTGTCTTTTGATTCTTTTGCCTTTTAATTCTTAAATTTCTTTCAAAGGGGGTGAGCTGTCTCTTTGCAGAATTTCTTTTGCTTTTGATTTCTGTGTCGTTACATCCAGCTTTCCTTCCTGTTTCTTTATGCCTTTCTGCCTGGAGCAGTTCCATCAGTCAAGTTTGACCTGAGCTCCTTTAATAACCTACAAAAACAAATTCTACTTGATTATTTGTTCCACTCCCTAGCTACAGTAATGGTTTTGCACATATGGTGTGGTGATGATTCTCACTGTTGTACAGAACAGGCTTGCTGAAGGCTTTCAGGCAGTCGACAAATCCTACACGCTTTGGCCTATCTGATAATACAAACACAAAGGGTGTTATGCTTGTTCGGGGATGGGAAGTATTACTTGCCCTAGGGCATGTGCATGTGGAATTGAGCAAGCCTGCTCATTGCAGCTGGGTTTTACTTACAGGTGTGGAGACTTTACAGGTGTGGAGATGGTATTGCAGGTCAGGTGAGACCCAGTCTCAGTTCTGGAGGTGCCAAGAAATGCACTTCCAGGGCAGAATAGTAACTGGCGTGTGCCAGTACGTGTCTGAGGGTATATCCGTGTGTTAGATAACTTGGAAATGGTTTAAACTGTAACATGAAATGAATCTGGGCCAAACTTATTTAAGGGTGCTGTCAAAGTGATTTCACTGACTTGAGTGTTCCTTGTATATAATGAAGGAAAGCTCTTGATTCTTTTAGTAGTAGCTAATAAAAATGTTGAATTTCAAATAGTTCCCTGCTTTGATCTCGGTCTCTCGGCACAGCCATCTTCCCGTTTTGCCCCACTTGATTCAAAGATGTGTAATACAGGCTAGTTTGACAGTAGGATGCATAACATGGGATGCCAGGGCAGAGACCAGACACATTGCAGGCTCCCTGCAGATCTTGATGGTTTTCAAGGCTAGCTGGGGAAAAGTGTGATAGGGGAAGGGAGAAAGAGAAGTATCTGCTGAACCAGAACTAAGTGCAGAGGATGTACAAAGTTGTACTCTGAAAACAAAGCATTTTAATGTCTTCCATTGAAAAAGTTACCAAGGTTTTTGGACCACTGGCTTGCATGAGCTTTCATTGTCATCTTGTGGGCTACCATATACTTCATGGAGACTTCTAAATCAGAAATATTAGTAAGGTGATCTAAGAGGGTTCCAGGTCCTGTAGTTTTTGGACTGTGCATTCTAGGCAGAAATAAAGTTGCCTGTTGTGTGTGGATTTTGTATTTTTACTTTTAACCCTGCTCTTTAAGGACCAAGGCTTTTGATGGGCTATTAGGTGTGCAGGTGTAACCCTTGCAAATGCCTTAGGTAGAATTGTTATGCAAATATTAAGGAATAAATGTTTCAAGGTGGTAACAATTGCATTTATTTTCTGCCTGTTATTTACCTGAAATGGCTATTTACTGTGTATGTGTTTTGGTTTCTTTTTCATCCTTCCTCAGCTGCCTAAATTATTTGGATGCTCATTGTTTAAATGATGCATGGAAACTACACATTTAGGTCCTCATTTCTGAAGATTGATCCAGCATTCTGGACAAATACATATGTCCTTCTTAATAGTGCCCTGAACAGTATGGTGTGCTGTTTCTTAACCTTCATTTCCCACCTTCCCAATCCCTCTCCTTGGCAACAAAAGCACTCTGTATGTATAGAGTTTTACTGTATTTGTTATTTTCAATATATATAATGGTCCACTTTGGAAATAGACCAATCTTGTTTTGAGCCTTGTTCTTTTTTAATAAAGGCTAAATATTTATTGCTGTAAGTGGTTCCTTTAAGAAACCCCTTAGTCCTTAATTCAAAACCTGCAGAAACAGGCTTCTGTTTATGTTATGGAAAGATCTCTTGGCATTTGAAAGCTCTTTAAAAATCCAGTTGAGCCTACTTATGTTGCTTGCCTGCTGTGAAATTCACCACAGTTTTGCCATGGATTCTGAAATACTTTTTAAGGTATTCTTGTGTGTGAAGAGATAACAATCTTGGTGTACCAAGCTTATAATTAACAGCTACACATTTCTGCTTGATTTTAAATTATTTTTTCTTTTAAGTTATTAAGGACTAATTCTTGATTATTTTTCTGTTCAAATTCATTGCCTGTAAGGTTGATACTAAAACTATTGTTGCCCATACTGTCATTTTTATTGTTGGGTAAATGCTATTTGATATGTGAACAGATGGGATGCTTATTAATCATTCTTAGCTGAATATTGCAGACTAATGGTAAAATGAGGACTGACAGAAAAATATACTTCAGCTCAATGGTCAGTTGTGTTGGTAACAAAGCAAATACTGTACACGAGCTCATTTGTGTGTATGCTTAAACCATAAGGGCACACATTGATTCCACATTGCTACTGGACAGCCTGTTTGCTGTAATTGATTTTGAGTGTTAAAGAAGAAAAAGCACACAACTCTGACAACCTTCCATTACTTTACTGATGCTATACTTAGATTTTTTTTTTTATTATATATGTATAAAATGTGCAGGAAAATGTCTTAACTCAATATTTATTCTTCGAACTATGGCTAAAGTGTCCAGTCACTGTAGTCTGTATCCATTCAAGCATTTACCTCTCTCCTTACCTGCTGAACAAAAGTTGAAATGTCTCAAGTCTGGTGTTGCAATATTTGTGAAATAAGAATGATGAACAAGGGGTATCCTGTTTCTCACTGGAATCTCAAAAGTCATGGAGTTGCCCAGGTTTATAAAATGAAACTGATTTTTCAGCTGTTGGTTGCTGGCGGAAGAGTGGCTGGGGCTCCTGCTGTGCCGGAGTCAGCGCTGTGCCCCTGTAGCCCTGGCGGGTAATTACTGCCTGGGCTGCAAGGGCAGGGTCGAGCAGCAGGTACTGGGGAGGAGCTGTGCCCAGCTGTGACACTCCCCTGCAGGGCTGCTGGGGTCACACACACCCTCACTGTGCAGGAAACACACCGGGGAATCCAGCCCTGGGTTCCGCAGGTGGGTGGGGGCTCGAGTACCTGAGGGTGCACAAAGGACTGGACCTGAGGGAAACCATAATTGCTGCATTTCACCAGCTTTAAACAAGGGGTTAGAGAGGTGATGGAGCCACTTGCCCCTCTGAATGAATCAATGGCTGCAAGGCATAAAAATGGAAGTTTCAGTAGGTTATGAGGGAATGAATGTCTTAGTGTAGCAGTCAGCCCCTCTAATGGATCAAGAGCCCAAAAGGGCCATGAAGTCTTCATCCATACAGACTTTAGACTCAACAAGGTCAAGAGCAGCCTGAGGGGAATACAGATTTCAAGTTCTGCTTGTTTTGTAGATGACCTACAGAGGTTGCTTCCAAGCCATATTCTAATTGTACTGTTTGTGGATTTTAAAAGTTCTGTTTTCCAAGTAGCTTGAGGAAGTTGGCAAAACAGAGGCACAGTATTTAGGTAAACCAGGTTGCTCAGAACTATTAGAAGTTGTGAAGGGAAGAGTAATGAGTTCTGATAAGCATCTTAGTTCAAGTCAGATGGTGGCAATATGGATTTTTCTGCCCTGCATTGAACTTTCCAGCTGACTAGGTGAGAAGTGCTTCCAGGCTAGCATAAAGGCCAAAAAAAAAGGCTTATGGTACCTGTCATGCCTGTGATCACTACGATGAACTTAGAAACCCATCTTCAAAGAAACAGTAGGCAGTCAGCAGCCTGGTAGCCAGCTGAAGTTAGTCCAGGTCTTGCTTTCTTGTTGGAGGAACAAGTTGGCAGCTGCCAGGAGATGGTTTCTTATGCTTAGCTGGACTGTGGTTATCCCAGCAAGCAGCTTTGAGTTCCAGCTGGTCACAATAGCAGTCCCTGACTGCAGAGGGGTGGCAGGACTAATGGCAGCTCGAAGAAAGGAAAAGGGCTGTGGTAGATCCATAAATCTCTATTAATGTTTCTGCTGCCTTGAGAAGATATCCCGCATCTCATTTATTTCTGTAAGTTCTTACATGTTTGTTTGTTTAGCAAAACCAGCCAGAGGTCTTAGTGAAAGTGAGGTGAGCAATACAAACAGTTACAACCCAGAGTAAGTGTTTTGTATCTTAACAAAGAAGCTGTCGTGGTATGAACCTGTAGTACTTTAATATGTGAATGCAGCTGCTCATGTGTGACTCTTGAGAGAATTGTTTAGGAAATCTGGTGTTAGGGATGGCACATGTTTGAGAATCCCAAATGTATTCTTCAGTAGCTTTATCACCTAAGATGATGTTGGAGTAAGTACGAGTCACAATGCTTACTTGCAGTACCATGTAAAAATACATAGTTTTGAGGATGTAATCCTAATGTTAAGTTTTACTATGGAAACAGTAAAAGCGAATGCCATGGCTGACATGCCAACCAGCATAAATCTTGGTAAATTCTGGATTGTTCATTGTGTTTTGGGTGATGACAAACATCGTGGTCACCTTCACAGAAGGAAGAGTAGTAACATGATAACCTAAAAAGGTTTATTAGA